GTAGGGATGGAGTTCAAAGCCTCAGTGGTCTTGAGAGCACRGGCTCACAAACAGGGACAGGGACTTCTCCAGCTACCTTCTGGGAGCCTTTCATAGGCATCTTCCTTGTGACCCATCGCAGTAGAGCAAGATTGCGCCTGAAACAGAAATGATTTAAAGAKTTAGGGTCTACTTTTGGAGATATCCCTAATGTCTGTGTGAATAAAGACAGCTCCCAAGGAAGAAATGGGCCATACAGAGCAGAGAACAGGGTTTATGGTATCCAGTGGCCATAAAGACCAAGCATGTCTTAGAGACAAAGYGCCGTACAGAGACCTCCTGTTCAATTAGTGTCTTGACCTCTGTGGTTCAGCGAGCGATGCTGGGAAGGAGCTGGGCATCCCAAGGCCTCCAGGAAGGTTTCCTTGGCAACACGTAGCAAAGGAAAAGGAGGTTTCATGAATGCAGGGCGCGTTGGTGCAAGAGGTGCTTTAGGGAGCAACAAGGACACGGTCACTAGCAGAACTAGCCCCTCGATCAAGGGACTATGGAGCTGTGGCTCAGAGAAAAGCTGCTCTTCTTTTCAGATTAATTAATTAAACAGCTATTAGGATCATTGATATTTATATAGAAATACAGTCATTATGATAAGAGCAGGTGTATTGTATCACAAAAATCTTCTACACCTCACTTTTCAAACTCTGGCATAGAGGAGGTGCCTYTCGAGTCACTGCTCACATTTTCACTGTGCCGGGGCTTGGGTTTAGGGTTCTSTATATTTAGCATTGTTTCACCATTCACAAAAGCAAGGAAATTGTGTAGAAGACTATAATATAACAACAGTAAGATAACAAATCAAACAGGTGTCTATGATTGCCAGATATTGGCCAGTATTTGCTATCTGAAAGAACAAAAACTGGAGATGTTTGCATTTAAACCCCCAAAAGATATATTTTAAACGATACGAGACTTTTATAATTTCCTCCCGCGTTTTTTCTGCTGCTGAGAATCATATCTGTGTCCTTACCTCATCCTGGAGGGACAGCGGAGCTGTGACTTTGCCCTGAGCTCAAGTCACCAGCTATTGCTTGGWCAAAATACCTCAGGAAATCCATACAATTCTTCCCCCAAGAAAAGACCCGTGACCTTTTGCAGTGAGAGTCTCGGCCGCTCTGGTGCTGTTTGCACAGTAGACAAACAAAGAGCAGCTCCTTAAAAAGTAAAACCATTTGGCAGCAAATCAAAAGCTGAATCAACAAGGAGGGAATTGGCCTTGAARGAAAATCCCAGGAGCGCCGTGGTGAGTGAGTGGTGCTGGCTGAGCTGCTTTCTCAGTTCAGACCGAAAGGAAAGGAAATATGGGGGCAGAAGTCACCAATTTGGGCTGTATTTAAGCCACAGATACAGAGATATCTTCAGGGACCCCAATACAGCTGTGTACATCCACTAGGACACTTGTAACTTCTCTCCTAGCATTTAGATTAAAAAAAAAAAAAAGGAAAAAAGCATTCTGATTAAAGTTAAGTTTGGAAAATGTAAGAGAACTTTGCTTGCAGGAACTGATGCAGATGGTTAGACGCATGGATGTGTCCAGGACATCCTCCCTGCGTTTCTGTACCCATCTTTGGGCTTTTTGTCCAACCTTCTTACATTTGTACGGTCCTGTCAACATCTTGCAAGCGAGACTTGTTATTTTTCATACTTGTTATTTTTCGTCCCACTAGATTTCAGAAAGGCGGTGAAAGACACAGACCCAAAACAAATAAGATTAAAGGCTTTAAAAGCTTAATAAATTAAGAACAGCAAATCTAGCTCATAGTGTGGCCTTGAGAGTAGTGTATAAAGGRCATTGAGTTGAAGGATTGCAGGTAACTCTGACCTGTTTAACAGCTTCCCTTCTTCCCTAGTAGTCTGGAGGCMCGAGGGGAACAGGATGGACTGTTCATCTTACCAAAGTGACAGGAGAAACAGAAGATGAAGATGAGCCTGTTGGATTAGAGAATATTTTGGGGCATCAGAATTTAAATACATCCCCCCTCCAGCCCATAGACCATCCTGCTGGTGTCAATATCTGACAGTGACACTGTCCTGCCAAAACCATCAGAAATAGAGTTTGAACAACTTGAGCCCTCCATAAAGAAGCAGTTGAACATTTTGAGATGTTTTCTGAGATCATTCTCCTGTTCTGCAGTAGGATCCACCAAAGAAACTTCACTTCTATCCCAGCTATTGCCTCCTCCCGTGGTGAAGTTGTGACAGTGTGAAGACCTTGAGCGTGTCCTATCTTGCCAGCTCACAAAGTCTTTCCTTCCCACCATGTGAGCTACATGTTGGGACTTTCTTTATGCTGCAAACAGCCTTTCTGCCTTTCTTATATCTCCTGGCCATATAAATGAAGGATAGTCCAATGGAGACCCTGGGCTTCTTTGGTTTGCCTGACTAACAATTGCTTCACTTGATTATCTGCTGTTCCACTTTCATTGTGATCAACAGATATGTGCTTTATTTCAGGAGAGCAAAGTCTGCTGCAACTATTTTCATTTTAGTACTGCAACAAATCATTAAACTTAAGGAGTGAAAGGTAAAAATGTTCAATTGTCTAGAGAAGCAAAAAGAGCAAAAGGAATCCTACTTTTAATAAAAATAGTCATAAAGAAGCAAAACCTCTCCTCCCTGATGGAAAGGTCCTGTCACCTTTGAATAGGTTGAAACCAGCACCACAATCTGTGAAATCTCTCTTTACAATCAATACCTCTAGAATATAATGGGATTTCTCAATAGAAGCGTGTGAATCATTATAAAGAACATTACAGCAACAATATTGTTCTACTGTAATGCAGCAGGAGAGAAAAATGGTATTTCTCCTGCTCAACTAGACCGTCTTGTAAGCTCAAGTTCAGGGTGATTCAAGAGGGCTCAGTACGAGGGTGCAGATATATTGGTATACGCAGGCTGGGATGAACCTTATTCCTGCCTTTTCTGGGCCAAATTCAAGGATCCTGGTCTAAAGGGTTCATATTTACTGTTCATATTTACTGCTTTGTTGTTTACTGCAATCCTGAATCTAGACTGTGCTAGGGCAAGTATCAGCTGTGTTAACCTGCAGATCTCATCAGCCTTTAGTGGGCACACTTGGCACGCACAACAGTACCCAATGAGTGAAACGGTTGTTTGTCTGTTCCTTTTTAGCAAGTGTTTTAGTATTTATCCTGGATTCTTGGGGATGAGGGACAAGCCCAGGGTAACTTTGGGCTGCATTCTGAATGGAATGGCACAGACTCATTGCTTAGACGTCGGTAACAGAGCATTGAGTTTCATCAGTAACATGCGAGCTTGTCATCAATACAGATCTTACAGAAAATTGCTTTTCTTTTTACAAATGAAGCAGCAGCCTCCCTGAGCTCCTGCATCCCACCAGAGGGAATCGACCCAGGCTCCCTCTTCCCTTTCCTGAACCAAGAGGCAGGAATGGCAAGTGGCTTTGCAGCAGCTGAGCCACCCTGGCAGCTCCCAGGCACAAAAAAAGCCATTTCAAAATGCAGCGAAAATGGAAAAGACGTGTAAGCCAAGGTAGAAACAACCTGGAGACAAGAGCAAGAGCAGAAAAGGATAAAGAAAACCATTAGGTTCTGCCAGAGGTCTTCTCCCAGTCAGTTTGCAGGTATGCACAGGAATCATCTCCAGGACGGGTGCGGGAAGTGCCCCAAAATGTTTTACTTTGTCCAAACATCCCAGTAAACACCATTGCTAGAAGGAGGCAATCAAGGTCAAGCTTCTCCCTTTAAGYTAAGCCTGAGGGCAAGAAGGAAACGCTCTTCCAGACATGGATGCCTCCGTTTTGGAGAGCAGACATGCAGGGCAAGTAGGGGTGGGTTGGATCTGCATTYATCCCTTTTTTTGATGGTTGAAGGCAAGAGGTGAGGCTGAGCAGCTCCTCCCCCAGCGACGGCATGGTGTTATCTCCAAAGAACATCCCCTCTGTGACCCCTCAGCTAATTGATAAACCGAGGGGCTGCCACCGTGCACCACACGCGAAGCCAATTAAATGCCTGGTGGGATGAGGTGGTTGCAGGCAAGTGACCTGCTGCCAGCCAGTCAGGATGCRACATTCCCAAATATCGTTAAGGTATGTGCGCTAATCCCCTGCTAAACGATTAGGCGTTTAACCTCTTGCTGCTGTTTTTGAGAAGATAGGGAAAATCTCCTCTGCTTGGTGGGAGRCTGAGCTGAACAGAGACCCACATGCTGGCCACACGCACCCACATTTCACAGCATCTTCTGGGTGGTTCACCTTCATCACAATGGGGCAGCTGGGGATGCTAGAGATCTCTTTGAAACGCAGGTTTTGTTGAATCTCCAAGATAAATTTGAGAATTGCAAAGCTTTCCTTACCTCAAGAGAGGTRTGGAGGTGATTTCCCCACTCACCACCACTGCTCATTCCTGTGACCTTGTGCTTTAGGTCCTGCAGAAACCTCAGTGCTCGACACCCAGCTGCTGCTTAAAAGCCAAGCTAGGAAAAGATGCCCCATTTCACAGCTGATTACACAGAGTAGAGCAGGATCATCCATGGCTAATTTCCAATTAGTGGCTAAATTGACTATTAATGGTAAATKTAGTGATTTCTTTGGTGAAAATAAATAGGAAATATCATAATGAAATCCCAATATGTTCCTAGGATAATTAAGCATGCTTTGAAACCTTACCCTGACAGGAAAAGCTCTCGCAGTGCTTTAGCACTAGCAGCATCCTGGGGTGGAGGGACCTGCAGCGCAGGAGCAAAGAGATGTCTTGAGTTAAGGGCAGGCACCCCGGGAAAAACTGTAGGTGCTGACCTACCCCCTCCACTCACTGTTTTACCTCTAAATGTAGCATCTCAGGGCTGCATGGGCAGCGATTTCTGCTGGGAGCAAGTGAAGAAGGGAGATTTCCTTCCCTTTCATCCCGAGCATGGACATCCRACCTTGAGCTTGAACATCACGAGTGCAGAAGCTGTAATCCCCTTCTCCTTTTCCCTTCCAGCTTGCTGCACTGGAGAGGCAAGTGTTCGACTTCCTGGGATACCAGTGGGCCCCGATTCTGGCCAACTTCCTCCACATCATCATCGTCATCCTYGGCCTCTTCGGCACCATTCAGTACAGACCCCGCTACATAGTGGTGGTAAGTCCCGTCTGTCTTCTGCATCAGAGCCACTGACATCCATCCACCAGCTTGGCTCTCCAGGGATATGGTGAGTGAGTGGGAACTGGGTAAAGTCCTTTGAAGATCAGGCAAAGGCACCACAAACATTTTTAGCAGGAGGCTCCTGGCTATGCCAAGGAATTGCTCAACATGCTGAGGTCCTGAACAAGGACCACATCTTCCTTCCAATTGCATAACTCACAATAATCCCACCTCCTTTGCTCTACTTACTCCAAACTTGGAAGACTTCAGGTATTTAACCCTAGCACCCAAGCAACACGTAGATGCTGCACAACAGAGAGCAAGAACTAGATCCTGGACAAAAGCATAGCAAATTGTCTGCCTTTCCTCTGGCGTTGTGGCTGACCAGGCAAGGAGCCTCCTGCCCACAGAAAAAGTGCTCTCAGCAGAGGAGTAGCCTGAGGGTCAGCTTTGCCTGCACATACATCATGTGTCCTTGCAGYATCAGCACTCTTTACAGCAGAAGGTTTCTCTATTTTGATGTAAGGCTCCCTAGAAAACTATTACTGGAAAGTCATATATCGCGTGTCTGATGGTAGGATTCCTAAAAGGAAGGTAGGATTTCCAGGCTCAGCCAAAACCTGAAATACCTTTCAGATCGCTTAATTTTTCCCCTCGCCTGTCCTCCCGATCGGACACTATCATCCCATCAGCTCCCATCCCAGCCCTTCCGCCCAGCTCTCTGCCCTGAGGTGCCCTGCATAGCTCTCTTGAACCAAGCACTGCATTTTACCTAAGCTGGCAGGGGAAAAACTCCCTAAAAAACAGGACAAGAGAGAGCAACTACAATGCTGACTCAGGGCATTTATCTGCATCACATATATATGAGCTAATTGCAGTGGCTTCCTAATGTTTATTGCTTCTCCCTCTCTCCCATTCCCTTTCTAGTATGCCATCTGGACTGCAATTTGGGTCACCTGGAACATCTTCATCATCTGCTTTTACTTAGAAGTGGGAGGGCTCTCAAAGGTGAGTAGGGGTTCCATGGTTGAGTTGATGGCCTCTGCGTTGAAGGGAAGCCAGTGTGGCTGGGAGATGTTGGCAGCTGCTCTGTGCGTGCCATGAGGGGCCAGGGGCTGCCAGGAGCAGCTCCTGCCCTCCTGCACGCCAAGGTGTCGACTTTGTTGCGGGTGGAGCAATAGTGATAATTCTATTTTGGTAAAAACACGGGGCAAATAGTGATTTCTGGCATCCTTGTGGGTTGGAATAAGCCATGTCCCTCATGGGACGAAGTGTATTTTCTTTTAAAGAGAGCAAGCCTGGAGGCAAAGCTGTCCTGAGGGCAGGAGAGGCTAATTCCCAGCTGTGATCCAGTGGTGGCTTTCAAGGCCAGCGCACAGGGAGCTGTTCTTTAGCAGGACGACTCTCGTGGCTGGGCACGTTCTTGATAGGATTGAGCCCTAGCGCATGTTGCTGTTGTCTCGGCGGACTCCCCTCCAGAGAAGCAATGAAAAATTCATGCTGCCAGTTCAGTGGCAACTGCAAAAAAATAACAGAATAATCGTGCTGGGTTTGCAATAGAGCAAAATTGTTCTCAGCCTTGACACTATTCTTTGTGAATTTCTTTTCATTTAAAAAATGGATTTCTTCTTAAAAAAAAAAAATAAGAAAAAAAGAAGAAAATGATGCTGCCTCCTTTTCTCCATCTATTCTTCAGCAAGACATTATGAGTTTCCATGCGACCTTGTTGTTCATGAGTGGCCCGTCTCCTTGGAAAACAAAACCTCTCTTCCACAGGGAACAAAAGATGTTCTTGGAACRGGAATGAGGGTTTCTATGAGAGCCCTGGGCACTTTGCAGGCGGATTGGCCTCCAGAGCAGCCTTGGGCTCTCCCTGCACATCTAGAAACCTGACCCCAAGCCAGTTGACATCTGCAGAGCATCTTGTAGATCCCAGCGGCCGGGCAGGTGACCCGGTGGCACCTGTACTTGGATGAGTGCGTCCTGCACCGGCTCCGTGGGAACTTCCAGCTCCAGGGCTGCCCGTATCCATATGGATCCCTGGTGGGAAGCTCTCCCTTAGTCATTCATAAGAAGTCACAGCTTGTGATGACCCTGGTAGTGACAAGGAGGCTGCAAAKAGTAGAGAGCTCTGGAGGAGCGGGTCAGGAAAGCACCAGCTCCTTACCCATTAGCACGGATGTGCTCCRGAGCATTTCAGCTCCATGGGATCCCCACGTGATCCCCTTCAGGGTCAGGGGTCTGCAGGAGGTCTTGGACCGCGGGATTCTCCCTGTGATTCCCAGAGGGAGCGGCATTCCTGCAGGCACCGCTCCGGTTCTCCCGACAAGGGCAGTCGCCGTCAGCAACCAGCTAATTCAGAGTGACAAGAGACAGAACGAGCAGCGAGCTGGAAGGAACGGAGTTTGTCCACAGCCCGTGCAGCTGGGACGGGCAGTGACTCGGGTGCGAAAGAGCCCAAGTGTGTCTGCTGTAAGAARCTCAGGAGATGGCTGGGGAACTGGTGGGAGTTGGGGGAAAGGGGCARTTTTGACGTGCCCTTCTTGCAAATTGCTGCTTTGCCACCAGGCAGGCAGGAGATGGAGCGATTTGAAGTGATGCTTCCAGCATCGGGGTGAAATCCTGTCTCTCCAAAAGCCCGGAGCTGGAGGGGCTCAGGARTAACCTGCTTTCCATCCTGCCCTCCCTCCTCTGGCTTGCTCGTGTTCCCTTTTTTTGTCCTTTTTTTTCTGGTCCATCTGGYTCCTTAGCGAGGTGAGATGTTGAGAGGTGTCTCCTTGGGCTCTGGGCTGCAAGGAACAACATATTGAGCTCCTGCCTGTGTAGGCCAGCGTGAAACAGCCCATCCTGCGCCCCCAGCAGGAAGTGTAAGGCTGAGTTAGTCCGAGCTAATTATTAAAATCCTCCTGGTAAGACACAGGAGCATCTGTCTGTGCTGATGGACCCTTCGTCATCTATGTGAGAAGCATTTGAGAGGTTCCAGGAATTGCTATTGCTTATTTTAACCTATTCCTCTTGTCTTTTCCCTCTGGAATTATCCTTGGAATGGTGTTTTTGCTTTTTCTTTCCCTCCACTTTATATTCTCTGCTGCCTGCTCAGTGCTTTGATGTGAAGCCTGAGCTGTGGTGGTCCAAATCTCCTCTTGAAACTGAGGCAGCTCCTATCAGTCACACAGGGGGTTATTTGTGTTCCAGAGGAGAATCTGGATGGCATATTTGGGATGACTTTGTACCTGAATAAATGTACGTGGAGGGTGGATGAAAGCAGAGTTAATCACAGCTATCCCTCAACTCCACCTGCATTTGCAAAGCGGAAATCTGGGATTTGGCCTCTAAAGGCTGTTGCAGCACCAACTTGCCTGATGATTAAGGAAATCCTGGGGGAGGAGGATCCCAAAGCTGCTCATGAGAAACCTGGCTGCTTCTGACAGCCTTTTTGAGGAGGGTTTTGGGAAGGGGAGCTTTCCAAACACAGTCCTTTCCAGGCTGCCCCAGCTGTGGGGGGGATTTCAGTGTGTTCAAGACCCAAATGATCTAGGAAGTTGTTTTGATAAATAGCTGTTTCCTAAAATTTCTTGCTTTAAGTCTTTCTGAGGGGAGGAGGGGGTTGCTTTCTCCTGCTTTATTGTCCTGTTCCTGCTTCGTGGGTTTTTCTCTCCAGCCCTCTCATAATGAGGCTGGCAAGCTGCAGGAGGCACCCAGGCATCACTGGGTGCCTTCCAGGAGGAAGAGCTTTTGCTGGGAGAAACCAACGTATCCCCTGTATCCCAATACAGGTAGAGTCAGGAGGGAAAGCAAGGGTCTCGCAGAAGGTGCAATGGGATGGATGGGGGCAGATGTGTGGRCTCAGAAGAGCAATGTCCAGTCGAGGGAGAGGGTCAAGCTGCCAAAATCACAGGAGGCTGCAGAAGAAAACGGTCTCTGGAAGTTCCTCCTTGAGAACCCAGGGCCTTGCACTGCATTTGTTGTCCTACACCTGCCAACTCAATGATTCCCCATAGCCTTCAAAATGCAGACAGCTCTCTTCAAACTCCCAGCTGTTTATAATAGAGGGTTTTTAATCCCTGTTGTCTTTCCCTGGCTAGTGAGGCTGCTTTCGCACTGGTGCCGCACTTCATCCGCGTGCCCTTCTGCATCTACCATAAAACACCTCCACGCCATCTGTTGCAGTGATTATGGCAGGAGCTTGGCAGCTGGCTTCCTGCTTAATTGTCCACGTTTCATAACACGGGCTTCAGTAACGGCGCCACAAACTGCTCCCGAGGCTTTGCTGGGGACGGGGGGTTGCTGATGCGATGTGCGAAGCGGGGCAATCTACCCTGCAAGGAGAAACTCCCATCTCCCACCCTTGGGCGCCTGTAGCCAAAGAGGGGCTGTTGCTTCAACGTCAAAGTGAGTGGAGAGGCTGCTTGGGACACGCAGCACTTAGTGCTTGCTGGTGCAGTGCTGCTGAGCTCTTCCTTCCCGCCCTGTTCTGCCTCTGCTAAGTTTGTCTTTTACCGTCTGCAGCGAGGGCTTTGCAATGCCTGCAAGCTCAAAATCCCAAAGCACTTGCCRGCTTCCCCGGGGGTATCCTGCTTTTCTCAAGTGTGAGAGAATTCTCATTTTCAGATGTGCAGCTGGTTGCAGAATTGGCGGGGAAGTGCCAGCAACTTAGGTTTTTCTACTGGTTTTAATAACAGCCCTATGAAAACAGCTTCTCGGGCTTCTCTCTTTAGGACAGTGAACTGCTGACATTTAACATCTCCCGGCACCAGTCGTGGTGGAGTGAGAATGGSCCTGGCTGCGTGAGGAAGGAGGCTTCCATGTCCGGCATCAAGGGCCTGGACACCCATTCCTACGTGTCGGTCATAGGCTGTGCCCTGGAGTCCCGCTACATCGAGGTCCTGCACAGCTCCTTCCAGATCCTCCTCGCGGTGAGTATGGCCCAGGCAGCACGTGCAGCTGCTCTTGGTGTTCCCAGCTAGTGGGTTTTGTTATATTGCTACCAAGAATTGGAATTTAATACCTTTAACCTAATGCTTGACATATCCTGTGCAGCCTTACCGTAACAACTCATCTATCCACGTCAGGGCTAGAAATGCCRCGTTTTGATGGGACAGAGACCCGTCTTCTGTACCATCTTCTGTACAATCTTCTGCTTTCTTCTGTTCCTCTGGACTCAGTGGCAGGTGGGGGAGCCCATGTCTTCTTGTGCCTGTGAAGAAATAAAGGGCAGCAAATCCTTATAGCCAGCAAAGGAAATAAACACTAAGGAAGCAGAAAGCAGCACGTTTTATTTCTGCTGACACCTAAGACAGGCACTAATTGTTTCCATCAACTGTTTCCTTATTGGAATCTTCCACAGGCTTTTTAAGCACTCTGCAGTAATTCAATGTCCTTAATGTTCGCCCTTAATTAATTGTTTCTCATTTGTCTGTGAAATTAACTGAAGCAAAACGGCCATTGTTTCCCTTGCTTGGCTCCTGTTTTGTGGCTGCATTAGAGCTAGCAGCAGCATCTCCCTCATCTGCTTTGTTGCTTGTGGTTGATGCCTTTAAACCTACATTGATAATGGATGGAAAGGTGGGGAAATTCCAAGCTCCTGGAAGCCCAAGGACTTTTTGGTGTTTTTGGTACAACTTTCTGCTGTCTTGATCCTGCTTTTGCCCTTAGCTGAGATGCTCTGTGTGACCCAGGGGACCGCAGGGCGGAGAGGACCCGATTCCTTTCTTGCAGTGTCACAAAACCAGGCGGAGAAGCCCCTGTTTTCCGAGCTGGGTGGACTCCCTGGCTTGCATGTGGTCTGTTAATATTTGCTGGATTCCCCTTTAGGGGAAATTATCTGAGTTGAAGTGTCTGAAAGATGCTTCGCTGCACGTGCAGGAGAAATGAAAGCTGAAAAAGAGCGGAGCCTGCTTTCTTTTATAAAGAATAGTAAAAAGAAGATAGAGGTTGCTGAGCTGGTGCTGTTCCCTCAGCTCAGGAACTCAATCCCCTCCAGGCTTTGGAAGTGCAGAGGTGTCACCGGCAGCATCTGTCCCGATGCCCCTGGGCCCCCAGCCAGAGGCTCAGCCAACAAAYGGCATTCGTTTTTCTAAATGTAGACCTTTGTTTTATGGTATCTTACTAATTTATAGYGCACAGCTCTCGGCTGAGTGCTCCTGTTGATATATAGGAGGAAAGGTGACTAGTCTGTGTCTCTGGGACTGTTTCCTCCTCGGCTTCCTCAAGGCAAATAATATATTTCTGCATGTGCAGAACACCATAAGGTGCCAGATGGAGAGAAAGACATGGGGACTGCAAGACAAATAGGATTTAGGTAAATATTTTCTCTCTCCTTCCTGAGATTTAAGTTGCAGTAGATTTTTGCATCCAAAGCCCTGGCAACGAGGCTGGAATATCTGGATAAGAGGAGCCCCTATGGGCTGAGCTATGCAGACTGAAATAACTTCCCACCTGTCCTGAAATAAAGGTGGAATTTTGAAACCCCAGGCCTGTGGCTCCTGCCAGCTCTGAAACATGTGTGTAATTATTTCAGGTAAAGGGACAAAGAGAGTTTTTCCTCTTTGCTTTGCCGAGGTAAGACAGAGAGAAAGATATATTCTCACTAAAACCTTGCATGAAAACAGCCAGCCTGCCAGTGCTCAGAGTTTGGAGTCTCCGAGGGTCAAACTCCTTGATCCTTCACAGTRTTTTTTCTCTCCTTTCTTTCTCTCCCCTCTCTTCTCTTTATCTCATTTTAAGGCAGATTTCCTGACAAGCTGCTGCCCTTCCCAGGGCGCCTGTCCCTGCTGCAGACAGGCAGGGAGAGYGGATCGATAGATCTAAAAGCAGGACCAGCAACCGAAGACTGGGGGATACGGCAAGGGACATGACCCAGTTCCCTCCTCATCTTCACTTGAGAGCAGCACAGCCTGTTTAGGAGGAGGTGGAGAAGCAAAATGTCCTTTGCTGCAGTTTTAGCTTTGGTTAAATACTTAAAATTTGGGAGGTCAGGGGACTATTCTGGACATGGTCATGTGAAGTCCTTGTTCTTTAGCAAGGAGTGCCCAGATGAGAAGGTATCAGTCCCCCGAGGCTGGGGAGAGGCTGGGTTCATCTCCCTGAATTTGATCTTCCCTGCCAAAGGAGGGAGAAGGAAAATCTTGGCCCGTATGGCGAGCGCAGCGTTGGCTGTCACCCTGAATCCTGCTGGCTGTATCATTCCGGTCCTGCGTGTACATTTGAAGAAGATGCATAAGGTCTCAGTTTGCTTTTACCCAGAGCTTTTCTGCACACCCTGAAGGGAGGAGCAACTGCTTTAATCTGGAGGGGGATCAAGCAGGCACCATGCATGCTACAAGTACGTGCAGGATCTAGATTGAAGTTCAYCTGCTATCACACACATCCTCTTTGTGACAGGTGAACCCACATCTCTTGAAGGCAAAGAGGCTGCAAATGGGACAGAACCAATGGCAGGTTCTGTGCAGGTGTAAATCCCGCTTGGTGTTTTAGCACAGAAGACTTTGGAGGAAAAGGCTTTCTAGAATGAGACCTCCTAACAAAGCGCACACTTGTGCAGAAATGTCACTGTGCAACTAATCCTACCGACCCAATTAGGAAATTCAGCAGAAACCAGTTTGTCAAGAAAAGAAAATATCRGCTTTGTTTTTATCTCAGCAAGGCYCCATCCTACGTACCCYGAGCTTGCCAGCCGGCAGCGAGAGGAGTTCTCTGGGTTTGAAATACCTGGCRTARTTCTGCTCTGTCCATATGGTGGTGCTGGGAGTGGGGAAGGAGAGGCTTTTCCTGAGGCTCCAGCAAACGGGATGGAAATTGGAAATGTCTTCCCAGCTGAGAGAGCTCATTGCCCGCTGTCTGCTGTTTTCACTAAAAACTGACAGGTTGGAAGCTTCCCAGAAAGGCAGCAGAGCTTTGACAGCAGATGTTATGTGAGAAGCGAGGCACAAGCGATGCTTTGCTGCTGGCAGCAGCTAGATTTTCCGTGGTCCTAATTGCATGCAAAGAGCAAAGAAGGTCAAGGAATCCGAGGGTTTTGATTACCTCTCTTTGGCTACCTGATCACAGCAGCTTTTTCTCAAGCTGGCTTCTCATAGCTCAGAAATGGGGCAGAAATCTCTCCGCTCTCCCCCTCGCACTGATGAGCACATGAAACTTCACTATGTTTGATTAGAAGGGAAACCCAGAATACATCTCCCCTAAAGAAGGGGGCTCTGCACGGCTTCTCTGCCATGAAAAGAAAAACAACAAATTTCTCTCTTCTCTTGAGGAAAGAGCTGAAGAGCCCAGGATATTCACTAGGAAAGATGCTAAAGGACTAAAGCTGAGACCCTGCACAAGCAACAGATGGCMTCTCCTAAAATCTGCCTCGCCATCCCTCATATACTCCATGCACACTCGCAGGCACCTGGTCCCCRTCCTTAGGTATTCCTGTAATTCAGTCCTTCTAACTCAAGCACTGCGGATCAGTGCTGCTCCGGGAGGAGAAGCTTTTCAGCTGAAGTTAATTCCAACCACTGAGACAGAAGGATGCTCAGACACCTGTTTTCCTGGTAGCTTTGGGCAGATTTGTCTCCCCTGGGCCCCACATTTGCCTGGAGGGCACTCAGAGCAGCCCAGCTCCATCCTCTCCTGTTCTGCTTCTCCCAGGCTGGCTGACAGAACCCACCTGCCTCCAACATGTGTTCCTAATAAAAACCTTAATCAGATACTTGTGCAGCCTGGAGGAAATTGGTACCCAACATGCAGAACAAGTGAGGAAACGGCAGCAGAGGGAAAGCACGAGAATATCCTCTGAGGAATTAAAAAAAAAAGCGTTGTTTTGCATTGCAGACTTTTTTTCTTCTCCCATCTCCTCTACATATTTGGAAAAATCTAGGAAGTATTGATATTTCAGTGGGATAATAGGCCTTAAAGCCCTTTCTTACTGAACTCAGGAATGAAGGTGGCATTCAGAGCAAAAGTGTCATTACTGMCACAGTTTTGACACCTTTCTGCTCTCAATTAATCACCGTTGACGTTCTTGGGCTTGGGACATCTTCACCAAGGGTCAGAAGGGACCCTTGGCATCTCTTGGAGTCCMCTCAACCCCCATCACAGCAGAATTTCCCCTGAAAAGGACGGGACAAAAGGAGTAGCGTTGCTCCTCTATCACTATATTTCATTCATAATTCATGAAGGAGGGGAGACGCAGAGCGGATCCCAGGAGTTCATTTCATCCCTGAGGTGATGGGTTTAATTATAGTTTAGTTCAGCCAGTGTGCAAATGCAGCTCACGTTCAYATTGCATGTCTCTCCTGTCTTTGCCACGGAGATTCTCCTGTTCTGACGAGGTTGTGAGGCTCACACAACTTATTTGAATAAAAAGAAAACAGCCTATTGAATAAGCAGTAATTTATTATTGATGAAACTCATGCCAAGAGGAGATGGGTTAGAAGGTCAATGCAAAGTCCAGGGAAACAATAAACAAACAAACCTCCGTGGTGCTGGGATTAGGGATTTTGCAAAGTTCACTTCGAGCTTTTTTTTGGTTTGTTTTGTTTGTTTATGAGTGTAAAAGGTCACCTTGGCTGTAAAACGAATGTGGGGAGAAAAGAGTGATGGCTGGAGGGTTACAGAGCATTAATTTCTGTGCAAAATAAACTCTGTGGATTKGTCTCACTGTTCACTTGCTCCTTCTGAGCTCTGAACTCAATTCTCAGGAGTTTAACAGGGTGCCCGTGATAATGTAGCTGTATTCCCATAAAGAGGCAGATACCRTTGGGGGTTCCCTGCCCCAGCTAGCAGGAACTGCAGCCTTGGTCCTTGGGGCCGTGATGGCAAAGCTGAGGAAAAGAGAAAACCAGGCACCAGAAAACCAGGCCGTTGCCATCGCTTTGCGGTCCCCAATTGCACTTGGGTTTCTTTTTGAGCTAAGCACCCTACAGCTGATGGAAACTTAGCACCCTTGTCCGGGAAACACAGAGCAGGAGAAGGTGAGTGCCCGGAGGCTCCTCTCCTGCCCTGCGGACCTGGGACACGCTTCCAAGGGGCCCTCTCAGGAGCAAAGGAGGCTGGTTTGTCTCATGCAATTAGAGGAAATTGTGGAAGAAATAAAGGGATTAGTGATGTTTAAAAAAATATATTCGATTTCCTTCCAACAAGGTGTTTTTCTGTCCAGGAGAGCTGCAGAAATCACGAATGCCTTATAACTCCCTAGTAGAAATCTCATTATCTTGCCTTTTGTTTTCTGGTGTGATGTATTTTTCTGTCATATTAAAAATGAATGGACTCTGCTTTTCAAGTCCCGCCATGCATCATTCTGTCTTCCCCGGGAGTGAGTCACTGGACGTTACATCTTAGCTCTTGTTCGAGGGAATTGAGTTCACGCTGGAAAACAATTACGTCGCACAATAACTTTACTAATAGAGTTAGTGTCAACCAAGATCTCGCTAAGTGGGGCGCTATGTAAAGATGTAGGACGAAGGATGGAGAGGATATTTGATTAACTGGAAGAAATCAAAGCAAAATAGAGCCCTGCTGGATCTAGAATGCTCAATTGCGCCAGTACCAGAAGCTTCTGTCTTTACTGAGGCTGGTTAATGACTCACTGCTGGAGCTCAACAAGGACAGCAAAGCCTGGCTCGGAGATCTTAAGGCTTCTACCAGCTATCTGCTATATGCACAGCCATCAGGATACCTTAAATTGCTTTTTTTTTTTTTTTAATAATTTTTGCTGTAGTTTTCTACTGCAAAGTTTTCTTCTTCTTTCTTTCTGAAGATACTGCTCTGGGCAACTGCTGCCATGTGGGCCACAAAAGACAGCTCTGAGAAATCCAAGAAATCTAAGAAATACCCTACTGTGTTACTGTTCCTTTCCTGCTTCTGCCTATGCAATTTGTGAATTAGGATCATTGCTGTCACCTTGTTTGTTGCTCATCATCATCTACTAGCTCATTACCTGTGCAGGTCCAATGCCTGATTCATCCATGCAGTTTTCATTGAATTCCAAGGACAGAGAGACTTTTAGAAAGTCTAGAGCTAAAGTAAGACTAAGATTTCATTCTAATGGATTTTTGTTCTCCAAGCTATTAAAAATTTGGGGGAATCCAAGTATGTGCTGTCAATAAGACACAAGTTTCTACCCCATCTGCAGAGAAACYGGTCCCATCTTGTTGGTAGATCCCACGGTCAGCAGTGTCTCTTTCCCTGCATGACCCTGGTGACAGCATTATGGGCTTTCTCATCCTTGGACCTCTGTTAATAAAGCCTACCCTATATGTCTCTGCCTCCTTTGTCTATAGGGGTCCATCTAAAACATTACATCAGCACCCTCCTTCACCCCTTCACTAAACACAGCCCAAGGTGTCCAAGGTCCACAAAACCCAAGCTGCGTTCTTGCCTGCCACTCCAGCAGCAGGAGGTTGCTGCTCTGATACTAACGATGGCTCTGGCAAGTCTGGAGTGTTGGGTCTTCCCCCAAGAGCCTCTTTTCCCAAGCCAACCCTGGCACTCCTCACCTTGCAGCACGTGCTGCTTGGCTCCACTAGTACTGCCAAGTTCAGAGCAAAGACAGCAGCTGAAGTCCTGCCAGGCGGGCTTGACCAACCTCACTAGACCARTGCTAAAGTGATTTCTTCTTTGTGTTTTCCAGCTGGTGGGCTTTGTCTACGCCTGTTATGTTGTTAGTGTTTTTACAGAAGAAGAAGACAGCTGTAAGTATTTACCAACAGATCCCTTGGCAAAGGTTTCATTAATTCTCTTTCTCTCTTAGACGTTGGGTCTATCAGACTGGGTTGCAATCAGGTTTCCCTCCATCTCTCCATCTATGCGATACAGCAGTAACTCCCTTTCAAGTACCAGCTGTTTTTACTATGAGATTTTACTTTTTTTCCTGCATCACTATGTGCTGGATGCTGTAATGCTGTTGCTCTTGCAGCACAGGGAAGCTGGGTGTTGGCTACTCACCTTGGCAATGTGCTGCTTTCTGAGTTTGAATTCTTGGCGTGGTTGAATCCGTGTTTTACTGAGCAGGTCTAGGCCAGTTAGCTTCAGCTAAGAATCCAGTCCAAAAGATTCAGAGCCCCGGATCAGAGCTTCCTCAAGCTATTTGTTAGGACTGTGCAAGTAGCTCTGTCCTTGTAAAGAGCAGCTGGAGTGGATGGTAGATGAAGAGCAACAGCTTTGAACTGGTTATTTGAAAGTATGTGAAGAATGTTATTTCAAAGGGTTGAGCTGGGATGAATTGCTGGTCTGACTCTGTGTTTTTCTGTTGTTTCCTGGGTGGCTGAACTGATTCTACTGGCTTTATTGATTACTTGCAGCTTGGCAATACATTTTGGGTCTACATTATAATTAATATTTCTTTTAATTACCCTAGAGCTCTCCCTATAGCTGAAGAGCTTGAGTTCTGGGCTCCCTTTTAATATTGTAAAGTAACAACTCGACAGCGCATGTTTTATGGCAGAGATCTCYTAGAAGCAGCAATCACACAGAAGCAGCATTATCTAGAAATGCAGAGCTGTTAATTTCAGGATACAATTTTTTTTTCCCCCACTAGCAAATTCCTTTCCCCAACCGGTTTCCCAGCTTGGAATTAAAATGCCAGCTTGAATAATTAACAATGACAAACCATCAATATTTCACACTCGCAGTGGTAGATCCTTCCAGTGACCCGAACAAATTTGAGCTGCRTTTTAATTTTCTCTTCCATTTGTGGTTTCTTTTAAATGTTCCTTTGATATGCAGCATGGAGTAATTATAAGTGCTGAGGCACATTAATCACGAAGCTCATGCTAACGTGATTTTCATGAGAAAACACAGCAGTAGGGATCTACTAATGCTGAATTGCGGGCAAGAATATTTCAGATGTAGGAATGCATTGTAATGCATGGCGGCTAGTGACGAGGAACTATAGTTAAGATTTTTTGGAAATAACACAGGGTTTTGGTGCTTCCATAGCCGAGTACTCAGCTAAGGTAAGTGTTGAAGGAGCTGGATAGTTACTGAAGAAGGTCTTTAAGGTCTCCTAATTGAGACATTTCACAACTGAGGTAATGCCATTAGTATCTGTCTTTTAAAATGAAGACAATAATTTGTACTTTAGAATTTTTAGAGAGTTTTTTCACTTTTTTTTTTTTTTTTTTTTTTTTTTGATTTTACATTGCTTGCTTAAAAATACCAGAAATCCATAGCAATATATAGCTAGAATCCGAAATACTAGTGCCACCTTCAGGAAAGAAACCCAAACAGGCACTTACATGGTTAAAAAGACTCTCGGTTGGTTTTAGATGTCATTTGTAGGGGACAGAAGMTTTCACGCTTCCAAACAAAATACAGAGACTTGGCACAGAGAAGTAGTCTAAGCTGAATCCCTTTTAAAGGGTTTTTGCAAGGCCTGCGAGGTCAAACGCAAGTCACACATCGTACCCATACGGCCCTGGCTGTTCTGGCCAGCTCRGGATAGACTTGGCCTAACTTCAATGGAACTAAGAGAGGCTTGGAAAACTCTTCTGTGAGTACTAAGGGAATYGTGGCTTAGAACGGTCCTTGCTTGGTTACGTTGCCCTTGGGTGAATACTGGCAGAAGGGAGCGTTGTTCCTGTTTGTGGGCATTTAGAAGAAGCTGAGTTGGCAGAGAGGACCTGAAAAACCTCAGCGCTGAAGATAATGAAYGGACGGGGTAGCTGCAGTTCTGCAAAGCTTCTGTCTTGCCACAAAGACGAGACGAGCTCCTGCCTGGCTGCTCCTTCCAGTGCTCTGCGCGTGGCTGAGACCTCGGCCACTCAGCTCTCATGTGGAGCTGCAGCATGGAGGCGATGCCCAAAGCGGCCGAGGAGGGTCCTCCTGCGTTCCTGGGGTCTTGGTTGGGTTCTGTTGTTGGCWCTTGTGCCAGCTGGATCTCCTACTCGGGGACACTCCCCAAGAGATGGGAGGAAAAGAGGTCTCTGCAGGCACAGATTTCCAAAGAGAGCTGGAAAACCCATACTCAAATAATCATTTTTCTGTTCTCTCATCAATTTCTGTGTTTTGTCATGACATTCACCAACCTTCTCCTCTCCTTTCAACCCCCAGGCCATGTTTGTTTATTTATTTCAGTTCTGATTTTTTTTCAGTTGATTTCATTGGTGGATTTGATCCATTTCCTCTCTACCATGTCAATGAAAAACCCACCAACTTTTTGTTCAAGCAGACATACCTGTAAGTATCAGCTCCTGCGCTAAGAGGCTGCACTCAGAGCCTCCTGCCTTGGCTCAGGGGTGCCGTGGGCTCGGGATTGTTCCTCCGTTCAGCTGGGTTTCTCCAGCAGGTTTTTTGGATGTGGATAAGCCACAGCAAGAGCAGAACGTAATTCTCCATCTCAAGGTTGCATTGTGGTCCCCCAGGCAGTGCCTCGATCATAGAGCTCTGCAGAGGGAAAAATATAGGCAACTTCTACAGTTATTTAAGCTCTTAGTTCTGTGCACAGTCACAACTGAACTCTGATCTAAGTTCCACATCAATWCTTGGCCACACCTTTGCCATCATCCCCTAACCCTTGCTCAGGCTGGCACAAAATCTGACAGTGTCACTGGCACAAGGTCCCAGGGCCACCCTCTCTCTGCAGGATAAAGAGCAGCACTAAGATCTGAATTTCTCATACTCCTTGTTGAGAAGCTTCAAAGAAGGCAATTCAATGGGCAGAAATTTAAGAGCAGTTGTCAAGGGAGGTTGTTTTTTCTGAAAATATGGTTACCAGAGAGCTCTGCCAAGAAGAAACATTTGAGAATGGGGGAGAAACGCAGGGCTGAGGAAAGAAAAACTGCCCTCAAATCACTTTGCACAAGTGATGGTGTGATGCAGCACAGGGTGACTATGCCCTTCGCCACTGCAGCGTGCAGCACGAGTCCAGGAGAACAAGTTATTTCTGCCAAGCAGTTAAACTCCCTGCAAGTTTAGGGGGGCAATAACAGCATTAGGAGGGATTCTACAGGAAATTAAATATTGATTTCCTTCCCATTTTGGCATGGCAGGATGGGCAGGGTGCAGAAGTCGTGGAGCTTCAGGCAGTTCTCTGATTTACTAGTGTGACACAGCAGTGTGGGGAGGAAACATCACACTTCCACACTAGAGGATTTGGGCTGCTTTTATTTTAAAATGATATATTTATATTTTTTGTAAAATAAGCTAGTACTTATTAAGTTTTCCATATAGGGTGATCATAATATGAATGGTAATATAAAATTTCCCTACAAGGTGCTCATTAAGATGGCAAGCTACTAATAAAGTGCAATTCTGCCACTTCATTCCCCTTCTGCAGAGCATCCCTCACACACCGATAGCTTCTGTCTGCACAATATAATATTGTTGGGGGAGTCACTGGAAGTGAGAACAGCTTCTGAGCAGTAAAAGCGACCCTCTGAATTTCACCACCAGCTGTTTTTGCAGAGTCCTCCTACTCGTGGTGTTTCCTTTACCTGGACGAGCAGGAGAGGAGCAGTGATGACCAAGCAGAACATTGCTCACCTAACAGGCCTGCTGCACCRAGATGCCCTTGTCCTGCTGTGAAAGCCACTTCACAATGACTGAAGGCATCTCCTTTTTCACACCCTGTTCCAGAAGATGCAGAACAATAAAAACATCCAACTGCCTTCCAATTTTAAGAGCAGCTAGGCTCAGGAACACGCACCTTGCAGCTTCTCTGCTTCTCGATGGAAGAAGCCTCGATTGAAGTCAAATTCATTCTGAAACTACAGAGTCAGGGCAGACAGCAACACCGACACTGCCACTTTTCCTTTTAGGATGGCACCCCCATCCCCATCAATAATCAGCTGCTCTCCTGATAACCACCTTGCCCTGTTGCTGCAACCCTCCCTCCCTCTAACAGGATCCATTTCATTCATTGCTGTCTAATAGAGTTATTCCCATCACTCCAGTTTTATCTGTCCTTTTCCAATAATATCTCCCTCCTTCCTCTCCTCCTAACCTGCCCATGCCCTTGCATGCATCTTCCCACGTCCTCCTTCTTCATGTCTCCAAGTTATTTTTATCCTATTGCTTACAAAGACACAATTAAATCGTTTCATCTCAATTAGCACCCCCAACACTCACTCTGCAACAATGATTTCTATAAATACARTTATTTCTATTTCAGGTTCCACAGCTGTTTCTGTTATATATTTCATTGGCTCCGGAGGTTTTTTGGCTGTGATAATTTCTATTTCAAGTCACAAATTCAACAGACTCAACAGAAACAGGGAAAACTGCTTGAAACCTCACTGTAGTAGAGTTACCCTTAATCTCACCACCACTTCCCAGTCAAGGCACTGGACTAACTTTTAGCTTTATCAAGTTTTAGATTTATACATCAGTTATTGAAACCAAAACTCATGTTCTCCTGAGGCCCAGAAACACTGCCCCAACTTCTAAACTCTTGCCATTCATCAGCTAAAGCTCAACCTAAGGCCAGAGTTGCTTGTCACAGTCTCCTCTTTGGTTTCACAGGCAAGGGCTTCAGTTCAGAGCAGCTTTTGTTCTTCTGTTCTTGTGTGTGGTCATAGACCTCTCATTATTTAACACAAGGACACRTTCTTGCAGCAATAGCCCTCCAAGGGTTAACCAAGAGTCCTTTGAAGTTTCTGCCTAAGGCTGTTAAATCCAAGTGTCCTCAAATACCTGCCAAGACACCAGGAGGGCCAGATCATCAGGATAACTTGACATCACCTCTAGCCTGCTACTCCATTCAAGTCTTTTACCTGAGAACATGATTCTCTCCATTTGTTTCAGAAAGTAGGCTGTGTAATCTTAATTACCAAGCAAATCATCTGGAGTCATTTTTCTACTTGATTTAGCACTAAAGCAGGTGCCTGCTGGGTGACAAGCAGCAGCCTATGTTTATTTAAAACAGTGAGACAGGCAACAGGTCCACYTGCATTTGAAGATATTTAGAAAACCAAGAAGAGCGTTCCAGGTGCGAGGCTTCTCTCCTTAGCACTTACTGCAATAAGTTATTAATATGATAGGGTATCACTTAAGAGCTTTAATTTCACTTATTTGGGTTGCCAGTTTCACTGGCTTTGTTTTCCTCAGCTCTGCCCTTCAGAAGGGTTCACAGGCTGACACCCAAGGTGTCACTTTGATCAGCTGGAGGCTCCATCAGTGACACATCAGCAACAGGAGGCAGCAGTTGACTGAATGATCTAAGGTTCCAATTGGCAATTGCTGCCTTTAATGCTCCCTAGTCAGCTCTTCTGCAGCAGCCTGTCTGCAAGTGGAAGGTGTGAAGCAGCTGCAAGCAGGCACTATTAAAAGACCAAAACCCATAAAAAAAATCCAAAACCAAAAAAAAAAAAAAAAAAACCACTTACTGGTTGAAAGCAGCTTCTTCAATAGATAGGTGACAACTGATAGGTACTAGGATGCAAACAACAAAATCTTCAGTTTCAAATCTAAAGTGAAACACTCAGGGAAGGGGAGAAGCATTTTTTTCTTTTACAAGTTTTTGTTTAATGGCTAGAAYGCTTTGCAAAGGAAAGTTATTTAAATCAGGGGGAAAAAAGAATCTTACTTACAAGAACAAACAAAATGCTTCTGCTTTTCTTTCTAGGTAGACTTTTTTCCTAAAAAAAAAACATTTACTGAACATCAACATGAATTTTCATACTCTTTTGATCAACCTGAAGCTGCATGTTTAAGAGGTGATGTTTCAGCTGAAAACATTCACTCATCTTTATCACTAGCTACAAAAGTAGATCTGCTAGTCCTGCTTCTACACCAAAAAGCATAGAATTGCAATTTCAAGAAGTTGTTTTATTCCAGAGATGTTCCCCAACTTTAAAATCCCAAATTTTATGCCACTCCAAAAGCTCTAACACTTCAGCACATACCTTTAGTCTAACTGCAGTATATTCAGGTCCATTATAGGCATAATATTCTTTCTAGACTTGAAGACTACTTAACCATATTACATTTAATATTTCAATCTTCCTCTTCATCCATCCGTAGTCAAGGGTACTTACAAAATGAAAAAGGACAACAAAAAAGAACTTTGTAATTTTGCCCTCATTAGTTGCACACCATTTGTGTTGTTTTAAATGAAGAGCTCACTACTTGCCCCAGGTTGATTCCCTGCCTCCCCCTTCTCTCCACAGGCCTGCGTAAGTAGAGGATGCTGGAGGATGGCGCGAGCTCACGCTCCGCTCCCAAAGGTGCCACAAGAAGCTGTTCCTGCCGCCCGGATCTGCAGCAGAGGAAATGCAGAGCGCTGAACCCCGTTCCACTTCTTGCTTCTCCTTTTCAACTGCAATGAATGTACATCGAGGAACAGCCACGGGGTTTGTCCTTAAGCCTCGGAGTGCCCTGATGAGCCACTGCGACCAGAGTCCGGTCATTGCGGCCAACAAATGGCACGGAGGCCCCTGGRAGCCTCTCGAGGGACATGATTCAAGCAGGAGCCGCTTCCTCCCACCACAGAGCCGCAGAGAAGGAAGTGCTGAGAATGGCCCTGGGACAKCGCAGAAGTTCTGTAGTTAGTTTCTTCCCACCTCCTTTCCCCTTGTTCTGAAATGGGCCTAAATCCCCTAACACATCATCTCCTCCCCACCTGCATAGAACCAGGTGGGGGCTATTTACAGGTCAGTTTTCTAGCTGCCCTCCCTCCGCTTTTTTGGTATAAAGTTACAGCCTTTTTTTTTATTATTATTATTATTATTTCTCTCTCATCCAAGACCCCCCTCCTCATTTTCTAATCCTTATGCGTGGTGGACTCTGCAGCAACAGGAGCTTGTCCTGGATTTCAATGGTCTGTGACTGACCTTCTGCAACACTGACCTGCTAAAGGCTGGGAGAAGCTCCAAGTCTTCCCTCACCACGGAGCTCAGCCCCACTCCTCCACGCCAAGCAGCTCTAACTCCCTCTGGGTTCACTCACCTACATTCACTAAATGCTGGTGTAGCCACACGCACAACTGATACCTGCTGCAGGACACTGGAAAAACACCTAGTTTTTAATGTAACAGACTTTTTGTGCCTGCTTTCCCCATCAGGCAGCTACATTCACTCCACACACCCCCTGACAACACCCTCCTAGAAGCCTTTTTTGATTTATTTCCAAGGATATMTCTTCCAGGACAATATAGAGGGGAGGAGCAAATGGAGAATATGTATAATTAAGTTGCATTAACCAGCTACAGTAATTAATTGGGAAAGAAACACACAACGTCAGTTTTGTTCACCACAKCTCCCAGCATGCCAGGACTGAGTGCATTTGCACAGCCAACCTGTTATTCTTTGGCTGGTGTGGTCAGAAGTGCTGCTGCCACTTTGTCCTGCCTAGTCACTCCAAGATCACTTGGAATTTTTGAATGCTTTTCAAACCTGAAGCTATGCTGGGAAAGGGAAGTGCGAGGGAAGAATTAAAGAAATAAAAATATTAAGTGGTAAAAATCAAAGATTGAATTTCTTTGATTTCTTTGTCTTATTCTAAAGGATCCAGGAGGCAAAACACTGTTCTAAAGCACTGAAAGAATGAGCAGTAAGAGAACACACACACACTGCATGGTTGTGCAGATACTCACAGCCATCCAAAAAACTCTGTATTCTGACCAGGTGCCAGTTTAAGTAAAGCTACTTGAGGGATGCAATTTATTTTAAGGTCAGTGTTCCTTCTCTTTACCACAACTTCTGACTGAGCACATACCTAAAAGAAAAGCTGACCAGCTGCTTGGTCATCTGGTGAAATGATTATAGCCCCATCTGACAGAATGTTGCTGCCCCCATATTGGTCACTGGGCCACCACAGGAAGCATCCACATCTCTGGAACCATGGACTTAAACATCTTCCTCAGCTCTGGCACATGCCAGTAAGGGTCAGTTAAGTAATTACACATCATGAATTGTTAGCTACAGAACCACTATTCTTCTTTCTGTCCTATGAGGAACACAAATATCTTTATCTTCAGCTTGTAGTTGAAGTAAAATAGAGGCTCAGGTTAAGCATGTAACATTACCAGCAAGAGTCTTAATTTAAGTCCAGTACAATAAGAGGGGAAGAAAATGAGAAACTATATGAAGAACCCTATTGCATACCTAATTACCTGCCCTGGTTTTCAAGAGCAGTGCCATCCACATCTTGTGCTCCCACATCCCTTCTTCCTGGCTTCTTGTGCTACACCTACRTCCTGCAAGCCTGTGCAATACCATGACTTGTTAGAGCATCAGCTCCCAGTCCTTTGGATCTTTCAAACTGTAAGGAAAAAAAAGAGCAGTTGAGGATTTTGCTCAATGGTTCCCTTATTGCCAAGTTAAGAGTGCCCTCTATTGGGGACAGGCAGCCCTTGGGACTCAGGGCTAGGCAGAAACACCTCACAAGTCACTACAGGGACATTTCCCTTTTGAGGTTGAAGGGTTTGGAGGACAAACCCACACACTCAGCCCAGCTCTGCAGGCTCCCAGGGAAACCACTAACGAGTGGTGAGAGCTGTTGCTTCCTTCACCTGTGCTTCCACAGCCRAACTTGGTTCCCTGATGTCCTTCAGTACCACCTACTGCCCAATACCTCTTGTACATCATTGATTCCCCCAACAGGGCATTACACTAAAATCAGATGCTTAAACCTCCACAAGATAGAGGGGAAAAAAACTTTTATTCAGTGAAAAAAATGCCTTTAAAACATACATTCTTTCTCTTAAGCCAGTTAACCTATTAACAAGCTGTATTATTGACAAAGCTGTCTTTCTTTGAGAAGGGGTACATGGTGAAATACCACAGTTGRGCTAAGAGCCATCAGTTTAGCCAGCAAAGAGAAGTCCTAAAAAAGGGTAAGTTTCCACAACTGTCTTCCAGCAGGACAGTCTCCAATAGCCTGGAGAGGCTTTACAGCAAGCTTGCAGGAGATCATCCAGGAAACCAGATCAAAGAGTCTTCCACCTTCTGTCTAGACAAGATCATCATGCTGACAACACAGGTTGGAAAAATCTACAAACAGATTAGAGTTTTCACTTAATGAGGCAAATTCAGTGATTGCTGAAACATTTCTCAGTTGAAACCTCAAACGAATGGTCTTGAACTATTAACATTTGTCCAATCCTCTTCCCCCTCACAGCAAAGATATCAGAACAAACAGAAATAAAAACCACCCACTGCTTTCCCCACAATACACACAGCTCGGCMTTCTAGTCCAAGGAGGGCGTTTGTTATAAAAATAGTCTACATTTCACTTAGTTATGGAAGGCAAATATCAACCCAGGAAGGATAAAGCTCATTATTTTCATCATCTCCAAGCAGCTGGAATGGAAGAAATGGAAGAAAAAGAGAGAGTCCCTTGAAAACAGCCCTTGATTTCAACAGAGCTGGATTCATTTGAATATGCAAGACTTCAGAGGAGGATAATCTCTGTCAACAGAAGCCTCTCATTTTGGTGGGTAAAAGCAACTAGCAGAGTTCTTCTGGAGCAATCTTCCAGCAAGGTCAGTAAGAGCCTATCAGCAACCCTTACAGCAGGCACTATGCAAAGAAATGCATTTAAAATTTGGTGAATGCCTGCATTTAGGCAGCCAAACTACCATGCAAATGAGATTGCTCACTTACTTTGCTYATCTGTTTTGTTACCACTGGATTTTACAGGCTATCTTTCCCCTCAAATACCTTTTACTTCAGGACATGAAAGTCCTCACGCTTCCCCGGATGACTGCTCTGCAGATAGGACACAGTCTCAGGTTGGGTGCACATTCTGCACAAGCTACCAGGTGGCCACAAGGCACAAAGACAACAGACACATCTCTGTCCATGCACACTTTGCACATCTTCTCCTCTCGCAAGCGCCGCAGCTGCTCTTCTGTGCTCAGTGGCACCTCAGCTTTAAGAGATGGAAGAGAGAAAAGCCCAAGTGTTAGCAATAAAGTTAGTCCAGAGTGACAACGCTATGATCTACARACGCCATATCCCTACTAATTACTCATCCTTTTGTTCAGAGGGTGAAAATAGCAGAGGTACCCTTCTCAGGTAACTGTTTAACTGAAACCCCCTATAGCTATTTTAGCCTCTTGGCTGACATTTATCTCCACATGCTGGACTAGMTGGGTGGGAAGGGACAAACATGGCTATACTGCACAATGGAATATCTCTGGGATGAGTTTCAAATAGATACGTCTTTTTTTGGTGTGTTTCACAGTGGAGCCCTAATTGCTGAATAAGCAATGTTCAGTTACCATGCAAACTAGAACACACAGATATTCAGAATTAACAAAGGAACAGAAAGAGCACTCCTTTTTCTGTTATAGGAGCTATCCTAGTTTTGACCGATTTCCCCGCCAGCATCACTTCAGTGCACCTGATTCCTTTTGTTGCACAGGTTGTGTTTCTTCTCTTGAACCGGATCTTTCACWCTCTCTCTGATCAGAAGCTGTATAAACAGGAAAAAGACATTAAACAATTACCACTTTCCTCCCTCTTCAAACAGGGCTGTGTTTRAAGAGATGCAATATCCTGGGTCTCACTAGCCTCTGATCAAACTCCTCTTCACAGGGCTATTAACACTAAATACAGCCTGGTCTAGTTGAYGTCTCTGAAATTGCACATCCTGCAAAAGATGTTACCATATGTCTGCATTGCATTCTCTCCCCACAGAAGCTGATTTAAGTTCTGCTGGACAGGGGAAACCCTCATCTGCTTTTTCCTGAATGATTATTTTATGCCTCGACATAGCTAAGGAGGTGGGTARCCTGACACATGGAGACAAGGGGTTTGGAAAGCAGGCTTGCTCCCCCCAAAAAAGATATATGTATAAGCATACAAAGTTCAGCTTCAGCCTCAAATTCATTCCACCCAGACACCCAGAACAGGTAACACCACAGATACAAGTAAGTTGAGAGRAAAGCACATTATCCAGGGAGATGCAAGACAAGTAGTTCTTACCAAGCCCTTGGTTCAGCTTTAAGAAGGTTTGGAGCCCACGCTCACCCTAGAAGCCTTCCTTCAGGCAACTKCCCAAGTCTGTCTGCATCAATAGGTCTGAATTTACCTCCACACACAGAGCTGCCACCTACTTTAAGGGCAGCAGCAAAGACTGAAGAATATTCACACGACACCCCAAGACAGATATAGTTACTAGCATGCCAGTAAACACAGCCTCCTCGGGCACCATGAAAGCAGAAAGAGAATGCAGATCTGCAAGACAAGCCCAAAACAGTGCTCAAAGTCAAGTGAATAAGAGGTTAAACTACCACCAAGATTACGGGTGGGCAAGCTGGCATACCTCTTGTTTCTTGTGCACTGCTGCTCCCTCCCCAGTCTGTCTGAAGCAGCTCAGAAACYAGTTCAGACTCAGAAAGGTAGCAGGTCCCAGTCAGCAAGTACTTATTCCCTACCACGGTAGCCACCAGAGCAGGGTCAAAGCCCATCTGCAGGATATTCTGCAGTATAGAAGACTCCTCCAGAGGAGGAGACTGCAATTCCCCATTTCTCACCATATCTGTAAAGCAGTGAGCAGATACTTYACCAGAAAGCAGAAACTTTGGGGCATCATAATCTGCCACTCCCAGTGAATGCTRTAGAGTGACAACAACATCAATATATAGATACCTATATAACTATYAATGTCCAGACTTATGGTTTGCTGCTTCCAATCATGATTCACAAAAGTCACTGTAAGAAAATCTCACAAAAGGCAGAGGATTATAAATTTCTAATGTTGCATTCTACAGTGTCAGCAGATCAAGACTTCTAGGGCTGTCCCCAGTGCAGTAATCTTTGAATGCTCTGGAGTGGGAAAGCAAAGTCACTTACATGGAGACCTAGAAGACCATCCCAGATGAAGTCTCTCCTTCATCCGGCTCCCATTCATCAGTAAATASTAAAGTGGGAAATTCAGCTGGCAACCCCTTCTAAAGGTTTAAGTGTTTTGAAGCTGCAACACCTTCATTCACTTCTCACACAGGTGAAAGCTTAAGTCATCTAGGCTTCCACAATGACAGGAACTAGATCTTAACCTACTTAAGTTTCCAGAAGCAGCCAATGAGTGGGAATAAGTGCCCAGGATCAACACTTTCCACGAACAGCTGGACCTTCTAGTTAGCCTCAGGTCTCTTATCAAGTTCAAGTCAAATGCTGTAGTCTGACAAAAACTCTGACAGACAAAAATCAACCCACACATGGACAAATCAATGAAAGTTTAGATAAATGACCGTAAGTCACAAGACTTCCCCCCCCCCTCAAAATCCAAGACATTTGGCTAGCTTGATTTTATATATATATGTAAAGAAAAAATCTCACAAGAGCAAGCACTTTTCTTGGGATAGAAACACCTCCCTAAAAATAGGGGAAAAACAGCTTCTAAAACATCAAAACATCTCTCAAACACCCAGTCTACAGAGCATATAGAAGGTGAGGCGAGAACAGAAGCAAAACAGAAGGCAACAYACCATGCAGTTACAGAGCACCAACCTTGGGAAGCAGAAGAATCCTGGTCAGCCTGGTGCCAGGAATCTCTCTGAAAACATCACAAGATATTCACGTAAGTGAAGCATTTGTTCAAAGCTCCCCACTGTCTAAATTCCCATCTGTTACATGTAAGATGACTCACTGGGGAGACTGCAGTGCTGAAAAAGGACTCCTGGACACCATTAACAAATTCTCTTCCCTTTGATCGCAACAAAAAYTCACACCTACGGGCAAAGAGATGCAAACAGTTTAGCAGAGGATCTTTCCAAATGAAAGCAGTAGTAGTGGTTTGAGGTTTAGAAGCAATGAGCACTACCAGCTTACAGACAGATGCTCTATTTGGTAAGGAAGAGGGATTATCATAGTCTTCCTGTCCTTGCAGGAAGGAGGACAATATCAAGCAGCTTGTGTTTCCCCCTCCATTCAGTCTTAATGTTTGGCTCAGCTGTCACGTTCTTTGGAAGAAAAGTCACAGGAGATATGAAAATAAAGCAGCTCAGTTACCTTGGGTACCATTTTGCATGTTCTCTCCAAGGGTCATCTCCAAACTCCCAGTTTCTCACACTTCCATCACAGTAAAAGCACCTCACCATGTCACCTTGGCCTGAAATGAGAAAAAAAWKRAAAAAAATCATAGAAGCATAGAGATGATTCCCAGAAACATAGCATAAGAAAAAATTCAGTACAAAAACCAACACAAAGCCTAGGCCACAGGACAGARGGGAGGCACACATGAGTTGTGCAGGCTGTTTAGGGGCAGGGAATCAGATGAGGGCATTGAACCACCACAGCTGCAGCTAGTTGAGACTATTCCAGAACGGGGTCACAAGCTAACAAGCAGCACACCTGCTAACACTACACCTTTCCCATACACACACTGCCAACCAAGCCCCTCTCACCTGCCTTTAGAGTAAAGGCTTTAATTAGTTATATCCAGACAGACTTGGTTTCCTACCCCACAAGCTGCTACTCTGGATAATCAGCTCCTGGTGATCCAGACAATCTCTCCAGCTTCTGTTCCATAGGTATAAAGGATTTACCACAACATGGTCCCAAGCAATGCAGCCTGCTATTGTGCCTATCCTCTCAGCTCAGGGGACATGCCCAAAACACAGAAGGCAGCTCTCCCTGCCAATATTTAATTACACTTTGGAATTAATACGCTGTAATTACTTGCTCTGGCTGCTCAGCCCAGTAAGCAGCATTTATTCAAAACCAGCAAAGCCTCCTCAAGGGGAAACAACTGAAATTCCACTAAACAAGAAACACGTTTCTGAGGAAACATGCAAAATCTTTCAGTTCTGCAATGCAAGTCTGGAATCCTCATGGCAACAACAAGCCATGACAGCTAAATGGGACTAATATCTACAAGGTTTAGCTCAGCTTTATGGGGGCTTTCGAGAAGAAAAGGCTGTGGTGCATAGCAGAGCTTACATGGACCGCACACAGCAAGTTGTTGTCATTGAGAGTGGACAAGCTAAGCAAGATTTGCATCAAGCAGAGTCAAATCCTCTAACTGGAAGCTCTGGCTACAGGTGAGCACTTCTTCCCAGAACTTGATGCACTAAAAGAAGATTTAGCTAGGGATTCCAACAATTTAAATTGGATTTATAAGTCTATTTATAGATTTATAGTGTTACACTGAGGTAATTTTCCCCAAAGCACCTACCTGTGTAAAAGAATCCTGCCCTAGCGAGCTGCTGAGGATGCACCTCTGTGTATTGTGGCCAGCTCTCAAATGTAGACAGTCTCATTTCCTCTACTCCCATCTCTGGGTATTCCGGTGGATTGGGAAGGGCAGTCTCCTCACTGTCCATCCTCTGCAAGAAACTGAGGAACTGCCCATCCACACAGTCAAATATCTCCTCAAAAGCAAACACCTGTTGGCTCCCAACATCCTCACCACGAACAAATTTACAGGAAGGGAAGAACCTGAGGTGCTCTACGATGGGGCAGTCGCCAGGTACCCAGTCCTTGAGGATGCCTCCRCAGCAGAAGCACTGCACTTCATCGCCAGGACCCACGAAGAAGAAGCCGGCCTTGGCCAAGTCCCGGGCAGACACGGGCGAGCTATCCGGCCACTGCCAAAAAGTTCTTAATCTTCTGGCTTCRCTCCTCATGATGAACTTGAACAGCTGGAAACGAGCTGTCCTGAGCAGGGTGCCCTGCGGTAGCACCGTGTCCCCCATGTTCCTGTTGGGAAAGGGAGAATCCGATGAACCAGAGCTGGATCCCTGGTGGCAAGGCAGCCCTGGGCTGTGTCACACGTTGCACCTCCCCATGGCTCATCCCCACACAGTTCTGGAAAGCTCTTGTGCTCAACAAAGCCCAGCTTGTTCCTGAATTGCAGCCCAGAAAACTAGGGCTCCAATGCTTTGCTGCTCTCCSCTAAGCTTTTGCTGAGTCCTCGTTAACGTCTGGATGGAAGAAACCAGCACTTTCCAGCTTTGGAACACTTGTTGGAGGGCAAAACACAGACTGCCTCTCCAGCTAAACCCATCCAGGCTTCCAGCCCCATCACAAACCCTCAGTCACTTGCTCAGCCTTTAAAATAGTGTTAAAAGGTCCCAAACTTCTTTCACTCCTTCTAAAAGGGCATTTAAGAAGCTATAGCAAAGGAGAGAACAGCCAATCCAAAGCAAATGTTATCTCATAAGATCCAGCTTATAGCTAAACACTTTTCAGAATTTAATAGATCTTAATAGATTTTTCTATCACTTTATTATGTTTATAGTATATTTGCAAACATTCTGCAGAAAAATCTGGTAAACTTGATTAGCCTCCCCCCAATAAATTGGCATTTTAAAAAGCTACRGCACAACTAAAAGTCAATACCCTCCCACAGTCTACTACTCATACCCATTTAGCAATATATTTCTCAAGTGAAACGCAGTCAATACCAGCAGCTTTCTGCACTTAGAAAAACAGAAATATTGGGGGAAGATACCAGTACATGCAAAGAGAGTAAATAAATAAATAAAACCAAAAAGCACRCACATCTTACAGCAGCTAATATACTCCCACAAGTGCTGAACTGCTTCCCCTTCTCCCAGGTAAGGCAGAGCCTTTCTCAGAGAGGCAGAAATCTTTAGAGCAGCTAAGTGAACCCAGCTGGCACGRGAGCCTTTTCTAGTACCTGATTTTCCCTGACTGGTTGGTTTTGTGCTGAAATCCTCCAATGACTCAAGGGCCCAACTTTCCTCTGCCTACACAGGTGTCACCAGGAAAAGGCCTGATGTTCCTCCTCACGCCTCCTCCACGCAATAACTTGTTGAACAGCTAATAAACTGCCAAGCCTTGCTATGCTGCTTGTCTTCCAGGCACTGCATCCTGAGTCCCACCATGTAGTTTGTCACTGAAGCTTGGCTSCAGTATCTAGTGGCTGAGCAAAATGGTCTGAGATTCCTCCTCTCCAGGACAGCATCTCATGTGAGAACTCAGCCTTTCTGTTCTGGGATCTCCCAGGAAAATCATTGTCTTCTTTACAAGATTTATTTTGAGTTTGCAGACATTATTTGGACCTAGAATGTTTGTCCTTGGGTAGAAACAAAGCTTATTTCAGCACTTTCTGTGCAGGTAACAGCGGCAGTGGACGTGGCTCTGAAGCGCTGCTCGAGGACACCGCCCTGGGATGGCCCTGTCACACATTTCAAGGATCAGGAGCACCACCATGCACGTGATTTTGCAGATATTTGAGCTGCCTTCTCAAACGCATTAASTTGTTTAGAAGCTTGAAAGACTGAGACTGTATCAAAGGCTCCGTCCCATTTCCGTGTCCCTAAAATGAGGACTATTAAATTTTCTACCTCAGAAGTGTGTCCTAAGGATTAATTAAAGCCTCATTCTGACGTACATTAAGATTCCTTTGGATGTTGGCAACAAAACGGAGCGCTTAAGTGGCTAGGAATTACCTCTATAGCAAATGTACACCCACTTTCAGACTGCTTTCTAAACCCACAGTGAAATGGAGGTATTTTATCGTCAGATAAATCAGATCCAAGTATCACTGACGCATTCGGATGCTTTGTGGGAGCTGTCTGTGCCTTTCAGAACTAGATCAGATGACTGTGATCTACTCCACACTGGACAGGCTTGAGAGCCTTCGGAAAACTGACAGCTACTGCAGTAGCAGCTCTTAGAACTACTTCTTTGAACTATTAATGTTTTCTGTGGCCATGATTTTCTCTTTATTTTCTCCTGATGCAGTAACAGGAAAAAAAAATCTGTTTTTTTACAGGTAAACCTATACAAACATTTCAACTAAAAAGGACTGGTTTTGACACTTTTTATTTTCCATCGAATAAACTTTAATGAAAACCTTGTGAGCAGTAGGGGGCAGTGCTTATTTGCAAAGTTTACAAGATTTTGTTACATGTGAATTTCATTCTTTTTATTTTTCCACAATGAATTTATATGTATTTTCACATTATCTGCTACTCCACATACTGCACTTTAAAGATGGTGATGTTGAACACAGGGATGGCAAGTAACTTAGCCCAGTAAGTAACTTAACCAGTTTATGAGGTGTCTAGGGCAATATCCAGAAAAAGTCCTTTTCTAAATCCTCAGTTCCCTATCCACCAAGCCTGTCAAAAAGGAAAAAAAGCTGTGCAAAACCTCAGGGGAGCTGGAAAGTTGCTTCTTGACCCCAAAACAGAGAAGTATTTCCAGAAATTACTGGCCACGGTCATCAAAGGAGATTAGGAGTATGATTTACAGTTAAGGAGATGCAATTAATGTTACAATTAACAGCTATAACAATTCCCACAGTATGAAAGATCCTTTCCAAGCAGGACCTAGGTGACTTTCTCAGAGATGAGTCACGATTCATCTTCTTTACGTCTGCCCCTTCCCCTCATCCCTTCAATCTTTCCTGCTGCTTCCCATTCCAACGTGGGAGCAGCTCAGTCTCCCTGCATTCCCTCTGCCTACTCAAAGCCTCGCAGGAGGTACAGGGAATGAAAGATGGTGCAGCCTCCTGTTAGCTGGGTGGCATTGCTACTCCGGGTTGTTCAGGGAAAAGAAAAAAGAACATAATGAAGCTCTTCAGAAAATACCGCTATCAGCTGGTGACTAATATATGTTCCACCATTCAGCCATTAATTACCTTTAAAGAAGGATTTGTCAGGCATTGTTATGAATCTAATGAAGCTCGTCCCACTTTTTAATTGGTGGAAAATCAGCCGTCAAGGAACATGGAACATGTAATTTTCCAATTAAATTCTGCCATAGCTTAGAACATGTTTATGTTGCGCAGAGATGTGCCTAGCGGCTTGAATGTTATTTGGATGACAAGTGAAAAGGTATGTTMTTGAGCTATTTACATGAGCAATCATCTGTTTTTCCTCAGGTAAATTCACTCAGATAGGTTGATTTTGCCTCTCTACCAATATCTGAGAGCAAGAACGGCAAATGAAGATAACAGATCAACGTGAAGGACACTGCAGAATGTGGAAGTGAAAAGGGGATGAGCCAATTCTAGGGAGTGAGCAAAAACAGATTATCCTTACAATGTAATGGAAAACAGAGGATAACAGCAACAAAGGGCTGCCAATGATGAAGATCAGGAGYAACGGCTTGTGAAAACTGAGGTCAGCTCTTGTTCTGCTCAGCTTCTTGCTATAGCTTTGCAACGAGGTTGTATGGTAAGCAACAGGAGTCTGTGATGGTAATAGCTGTTCACAGGCTACGCTTTGGATTCCCTTTCCTACGTTTTCAGAGGAGCGTGCCCGTAACACGGAAACAGAAAATAAGAAAATACACTATTTTCTGTGTGTCTGCCTTTATTTTTCACCCTAAAGTGAAGGAAATTAAAGCCAGAGCTATGTTTTAACTACATTCCACAAGGGAAACAGAGAAGATTTCACCAAGGCAATGCTTAGCCCCTTGCTCAAAATTGGAAGTCCCAAGTTTTTGCTGCAGCAAAAGGCTGTAGCAACCCCCTGTAAAAGCTAGGCAGCAAAAATGACCTTTTGTAATTTACACACTAATTACTCTATGATTTCAGTGTTAACCAAGGAAGAAAAAGATACTCTTACTTTTAGTTACACTAAGACAACATGGGATTTCACTCAACAAAGCCAAAATAAAACAAAAAAAAAATTACACCTTAAGTTACAATGGTATTCACTAAGATTAGACTGGGCTGAGATAAAATTATTCTGCTTAAGTGATAACATTCTAAATATTACTTCCTCTTATATGGTTTAGTACAGATCTCTTTTCTTGCTGGTTTTATTCCTAAAAGAATGTGTATTTCTTAATGGATAGGCAAGAAATCTCTTAAAATTACCTGGAAGAAGCAACAACTCACATTTTTCTAATGTAAAAGAAAAAATGTTCTCACAAATATGGAGTTGGGGGCATTATATGTGCACACCTTAACATACGCACTCTTTGAGTCTCAAGTGGCAGGTACAGTCTAATAGCTACAATCCCCTATAACATCAGATCCTGAAGAAAATACATTTCTAACATTCTGCCCACAGCACAGTCATGGCAAGGATGATTCATAGTCACGTAGTTTCTATATCAAGACTAGGGAACATATACAATCACATGGACTTCAAAACCATGCCCATCACCCAAGCACCCAGGACAAGCCTCCCTGACAGATGGTCTACTCTCCGCTCATGCTGCTTCCTTTCTTCTCACATTTCTTTCCAAAGCTCTGTTCTTCAGGATGGCCTTTCCACCTCCTCCAGGGACTCCGAAGAGCACAGGCCTACCAACTTTGTCCACAAACAAAACATAAGCAAACAAAAATAAGATGAAACAGGCCAGTCATTGCATGCAAACAAAACCCATGCAATACCTCAAAATGCCTCCAGATATTTCTCTGGAATTACATTCTACAGCTCTCCACTAGTTGCTGATTATCTCCTCCTACTACTAATGTGCAAGAGAGAGATGTTTTCTTTTGTTTTGGGCTGAGAGGCTCCCAGTCCTCCCTACTCAATTTGGGCACTGASTGAACTACCATTTGCTGTATTTATATGCATAACAGGATAGTGAAGCCTCTGATCATCACTGCAACATAAATAGTAAGACAGCAACATGCAGATGATCCCTGTTTCACCATGATTGTTATGATCCAGTCATCAGAACTGAAATAGGTATGAAATAGATTATCATACATTTTTCCACACTGTAACTGGTAATCTAAGAGATTAAAAATCCTTGGGAAGGGTAGGGGCTGTTTGTTCTGTGCATCATCATCTGTAAATTGCTCGTTGACATTACGCACTACCAGAAAAGGAAAAAAGTAAAAGAGAAAAGGAGAACTAGACACAATCCTGTTTATTAGATACTCCATCCATTTGGGGGGGGGTGTGCTGGAAGAAGCAAAGAAACAGTTGGAACTCAAATACCGAAAAAGGCACTGCTTTCATTAAATGCGATTTCTCATAAAGGAAATGCCAAGGCCTCCCTACAGCCTGCTTACATTCAACAGCTTATGGCCAACTTTGCCGTGCATCAGCGCGAACAGGCACAGCTCTGCGTGCGCAGCACAGCGTGGCTTCCCCTCGGCAGTGCCATGACAAAGACTGAAAACCCTGGTCCCTACTGGGCTCAAGTTAAGCTCTGCTCAGTGCGGGCTCCGTTTCACCTCCGCTGGGAGGAGGATGCCGTGAATTAACTGACAGGGCACGCGGGTGAGGGCGGCTTCTCCTCAAGCGCGGCCGGCGCCGCCATTTCCTCAGTGGCCAAGCGCAGCCCCGGGGGAGGCGGGAGGTGCCACGCGCTTCCCCAACGGGGAATGTCTCTAAGGGCCAGGAGGGCGCTCCGGCGAGCCATRGAGCGGGAAGGACGGGACATCATGGAGCCGGGAACACCGGGACAGAGCAAAGCAGGAGAGGAGGCGAGAAGCACTAAGGGGCGGTGATGGCGCCTCCCGCGCCGCCTCAGCCCGCCGCGCCCTCCTGCGCACGCGCAGCCGCCTCCCCGCCCGCGCCTCGCCGCGCTCTCCCGGCGTGCCGCGCGCGCGCTCGCTCGGCGCTGACGTCACCGCAGCCCGGCGCCCGCCGCCATTGGAGGTGGCGGCTCCGGCGCTCGCTGCGGCGGCGGCGACAGCGAGGAGGCCCCGGCGGCGGCGGCGCGGGCCGCGGGCATGTGAGGAGGCGGCGCGAGGTGCCGCAGCGGCTTCCCGCGCCCCGCCAGGAGACGCCGAGCGGCGGGCGCCGCCTGAGGGGGGGGGGCAGAGGCGCCGCCGCCCCCGCGCCGCGCGGCCCTCCCCGCTGCACCACGGCGGCCCCGCGCATGAATTATGTCCGCCACAAGCGTTGACCCTCAGGTAAGCGGCTTCCCGCCGCGGCGCGGGGCTCCCCGCGCAGCCCGGCCCCGAGAAGGCGCCTCCGCGGGGCCTCCCCTTGGCTCCCGGCGGCGGCCCCGCGCGCAGCGCGCGCTCGCGGCGCCTTCCCGGAGCGGGGGCCATTTCTAAGCAAGGCCGGGACCGAAACGAACTCCCCGGAGCCGGCCCGAACGAGGCCCCGCTCCTTAATAGGCCTTCCCCAACGCACTTTCTCCCTCCCCATGAGCTCTGTGTTTTATTTTTAATGACCATATGAGCATTTTTTTTCTGAAATTAATCTTTTCATTTCCTTCCACTCCCCCCCCCCCTTTTTTTTTCCTTCTCTATTCCTCCATCATATGCTGCGGCTTCCCAGAGACCGAAAGGGCAGGATAATAAAGGTAAGGAGCATRCTGAGATCTTGCCACTTAATTTGCTGTTGTAACCGCTGCATTTTGTGGGTATCTGTTTGCCAACAGAGGGATGCTGCTGTTAGTCCCCATGGATGAACATCTGGAACAAAGAAACTTTGTGCTTGGTTTCGAAAATAGCGTTAACTGTTGCTCTTAGGAGCCTGTTTGCATCCTACCCAATGTTACCAAGTTCATAGTGCACTGCGTGTTAGCACTAAGCAATCTTATAACAATGCTCTTAATATCCTTAAAGTAAAGCGGTTTTTAGTGKAACAGAGGCCTTCCAATCAGGATACATTTTCACATGTTTTCGAATACTCTTTTCTTGCTGTGTAAATACTGTTACGGTACAGCT